TGGCTAAACCGAGGACACGGAAGCTTACCTTGCAAGCTAACTCCAAAAGCCAATAGTCCACAGCTCAAAGTCCAAACACAGCAGATTCACAATCTGTTATGGACCAACAATACATCAACAACATGCACCACAAGCATACAATATTAAGACAACGCCTTTTCATTACGTTTTCAAGTCTTAAAGCTTCTAACAAAGCCACAAGCCCTTAATCCCAAGATTCTGGCTTAGTCCATTAAATATAGAAGTTCAACTTCATCAATCTAGGGTCCACAAACCCCTAATAGCCTACTGTACACACAGCACAGCTACTGTTCTACGAAATCCCAGAATATCCGGATATTCCTCGGGGCCATATCCGGATATGCAATATCCGGATATCTCACTGGACATATCCGTTTATGCAATATCCGGATATCCAGAATCCCATATCCGGATATCTATTATCTAGATATCCCAAAACCCCATATCCGAATACACATATCCGGATATCATATCCGGATATCCCATATCCGGATATTCCACGGGCCGATATCCGGATATTTCACGACAGAATGCAGTTTCTGCATTTTCGTGAAGATATCCTTCCAAGGTTGGGTTTTTACCGATTTTAAACACCTAAACATGCATTTCTAGGTGTGTTCAACATTACCCCACAACAAGTTATCATCTTTTGACCTTAACATGCATCAAGCTTTCATTTTTAAGCATTAAACTCAAGATCCTAGGTGACAAGGCTTACCAAAGCTCAAGACAGAGGTTGGAGGTGCTCTTGGAGCTCACAATCAGCTCCCAAGGTGCTGACTTCAAGGGTGTACGAAAATACCACCCAAGCAAGGATCTTTCTTCACAAATGAAGCTCCTTGAAGCCTCACAAGCCAAGCACAACACTCCTCAACAAGAATGCCACCAAACCAGAAAACACCTCAGCTCCCACAACCACCACAACTCAGAAAAGGTGCTCCTTTCACACTCACAATGACCACTCACACAAGGCTCAAGTGTTTGGAGGTGAAGAAACCAAGCAAGATTGACACTTGATCTCCAAAATGGTGAAGAAAGCTCAATGGAACAATAGCAACTGACCAGCCACTCCAGCATTCACGTAGCAACAGAAAACCTAGGGCTTTGTGCCCTTAACAAGGGTATTTATAACTACTTACCCAATAAAACACACAGTATTGACTTTAATTGCTACGCTTAGCAGTTTAATCCCAAACTTTGGATTATGAAACTACATAATTTTCTAAGATTTATCATATTTTTCTTATAATTTTCTGAGCACTTTTCCGGTACGCGCTTTTCCAAGCCAGTACCGGTTTCCAGCACGAGTTCTCATTATCTGGACTTGAAACTCGTTTTACAAGTCCTACATATTATTCTAGTAATTATCATGCACTTACATTAATTTTTCGGGATACTTTTTCGGCACGCATTTATACCGACTAGCAGAACCGGTATCTGCACTTTTCTTCCGAAAAGCGACTTTCAGCATTATTACTCAGTAACTATAATTATTAAAGCCTCATAATAATTATTAGAGTCAATTATGGAATCATTTCCTATTTTCTCGTAATTTATTAATTAAATACCTTAATTAACGGTACGGGTTCTTACACTGTACGTGATTGTATAGATTGTCGTACGTCGACTTGAATCCCGAACCTTGAATCAGGGAGTTGCCCTTGGTCCTGGACCAAGTGGATTGAGGTAAGTAATTGGTTCAATGCATGTATAATTGTAAATTAGCATGTATTGTTTGAACTGTGAGTGATTGAGAATGTCCTCTGTGTAGGCATTCTGCTGTGTAACAAGTTGAGGGATAAGCTGCTACGGAGTTTGTGAGAAAAATAATTAAGGTAACCTCTTGGTACTGGTGCTTGTTCCCCTTTTCTGTTCCACCTTGCAAGTTGATGGCAACGATAGGAAGTGTATATGAGTAATGTAGAACAACATGAGCATGCATGCATATATCACAGTGGGTACTTATGTACCGACTCTCTGGCCAGTAGACAGTTTTTAGCCTTCGAGCAATTTCGGACTTCCACTGGATAGGTCTCCGAGAGGGAGTTCCAGTTGACCTAGGGTCATGGTGTGTGATCCGGGTAGGAGCACACTAGGAATATCTCAGGTGTTTTGGATGGTTGGGGCATCATGGTTGTGGTTTTTGGAACGCACCTTGGACGATACCCATAGGCTTATATATGCCCAGGGCGTGCGTGGTATTGGTAGCTACCATCCCGTATCATCGTAGTTTGTATCTCTATATTCCCTGTTTCTCTAAAACCCTTGCTATATCCCGTTTTTAAAAGTGGTTGTTGTATTCTATTCATATGCATCGAAGTGAACCATTGGGCGGAGTTTTCTCCAGAACCTCTGGGTTACTGAGATATATTCGTATATCTCAACCTGTCTCGGGGCATTTATTTCAGGAGGTAGCAGTGGAGCTAGAGTAGTGGGCAAGAAGCCCGTAGAGTGATTCAGTGGAGTTTTAGCATTTTGCATTTTGTTGGCCATGTGGCCTAGGCTAGACTTAGGGCATGAACATCTAATTTGTATTTTGTAGGAGCTTCATTAGCATCTTGTTAATGTCATTTTTCCTAAGTCTATTGGTCATGCCATGTAGTTTATTTTACCATTTGTATTTATGTTGTAATATTGGAAGATTGTAATTAAGTTTCATTGGGAGTTGTAAGTTGTAAAGCAAAATTGTAATCGTATCTTGATGCATGTCTATTTATGATGGAAGGGCCTTAGGCCTATTGTAGGTTATGATTATATGTATGTTGAAAATGTGCATGAAAATGGTGTTAGTGATTGCAACTATTTAAGAATGATTAATATGAGCTATATGTTTAATAACTATAAACTGGATTGGGTTGTAAGTGCCCCAAGGTGTTGTTTGTCCTTGTGTGTGCCACCCATTGGATTTTACTTTGTTATTATTGGATTATTAGGTACCTTGAGGCATTAGTGAGCTAGTACAAATTTGGGGATTTTTGGGAAAAAACAAAGGAAACTCTGGCGAATTTTCTGTAGAATTGACAGAGTTTAGGCGAACTTCGGGAGAGCATATCTCCCTCCATAAAGGTCCAATAGGGACGTTCCATACGCCATTTTGAAGGTTGACATGTCCTCTACCTTGTGTAAAAATTTGGGAAAAATCAGGGTTGGTCTTCGACCTGGAAAAATTGGAGGAACGCAGACTGCTCATGTGCCCACTGCACATGTGACAGTTCTGGACCAGTTTTGGAAAATTAATTCTCGCTTTGTTTCTCAGTCATATTAAGCGTATGATATATCAAATCGAAGATTGAGGTGTCTAGTTTACGATGTAAACATCTGAGAGCAATTGGATTAGTGGATTCAGTGAAGTAATTCGTGGAGTGAGAGAGGTTTAGAGCTGCTTTGGGGTTGGTTGGCAATTTTGCTTATCCAACTTCAAACGGAAATAACCGGAGCAAACGAGCTCCAAATTGAGCGTGTGTGATAACTCATATTTTGTTACACTTATTTATTATTCTTGGTTGGTATTTTTATGATTTATTTGAATTAAATAAAGGTCTTTTGGGTCAATTCACTATTCTAGATTTTAGTTGGGTTTAATTGATTTTCGTCATAATTTTCCAGATTTACACTACTTTTGTATTTTGACCATATCTCACTCTACAGATTTCAGATTGACTCCTTTCTTGTTGCTATTTGCAGCTAACAGATAGGGCTACAATCGCTATTTCAGCTACGGAAGCCCAATTCGGACGGGAAGATGGTCGAAACTTGATCTCAAGATGACGTGTTTTGCTGGAATTTTATTTTGACGTTTGGACTTGTAATTCACATTAGGACCCAATGTGTTTAGGGCCCAAGGCCATGTTTTATTTTATTGTTTTATTTAGCTTTTATTTTATCTTTGGGCTGAAGTGATGAAACCCTAGCCGTCCTGCGTGACGGCTATTTAAAGGGGACTCTAGGAAACCCTTGGGAGTCAGTTTTACAACAGAAAAGTATTTTCTCTGAAGCGTTCTTCGTGTTCTTCATCTTTTTCTTCTTCTTCTTCTTATTTCAATTATGCTTACCTTAGCCATGCGAGGCTAAGAACCTTTTAATCAACCTAAGGGTAATGGATTCCATGGATTAGTCTTGAGGGTCTGCGTTTATTTCAAATCAGTTTTCGTTTCCCTTCCAAACTTATATTGATATCGTGCGATCGTGGATATTCAATCTGAAGTTCGCGATTGCGATTATGGAAAGGGATTAATCATCAGATTTGATGATTAGGTTGATTGACCCTATGACCTTAAATCAAGCGGGCTGATACTCTGCGATTGTATGAGTAGAAGCATTGTCTTTGATCAAATGCTAAGCGATCGCTTAGAGAGGGTTGTCAATTGGAAATAAGGATTCTGATCCGATTGACAAATCAATCACGATTCTGATATTTTCTTATCCGAGGAAAGACGTCCATGGATCCCAAACCTTAGGTTGGTTATTTTTAATTACGAATTTTTATTCCAAATTTATATTCTGCCTCTTTAATTATTGAATCAAAATCTAAAACCCCCCTTTTAATTTTCTGTTCTCATAAGCGATTTTAACCAAAACAATTTCCTTGAGAGACGACTTAGGGTTTCCACTTTACTGCAAATTTTCTGAACCCTAAAGAATTAATTTTTAATTGCGCGAGTTCGACAACTCGTGTCAAATTTGGCGCCGTTGCCGGGGAAATTGCATCGGTCTAAATCGTTTTCTGATTCTTGATCATCTTCTTTTTCATCTTCATCTTCTTTTTCTTTAATTTTTGTTCTTCAAAAAAAAATTAATTTTTTTTGTCCTATCGTACGTTTTGTGATTTTATTGAGTCTGTTGCTAGTAGAGCTCGTAGGTTGACTTACAGTAGAGCTGTTCCTGAGCATACCTTAGAGTCTGTTGAGTCTATCGAGTCTGTTTGTTCGAGTCCTTTACATAGTGTTTATTCGTTTGGTCATTTATTTGATTCTGAAATCATGGGTGATAGAACACTTAAGCAATTGGCTACTCCTAATGTTGATAATGAGCAGCCCTTGTGTATTCGTTATACTAATCCTGTTGTACCTTTTGAGCTTAAGTCTGGACTAATACACTTGCTGCCCAAGTTTCATGGTCTTGCAGGTGAGAATCCCCACAAACATCTGAAGGAATTTCATATAGTCTGCAGCACTAAGAAGCCAACAGGGGTGGATGAGGAACAAATCAAGCTGCGTGCTTTCCCTTTCTCTTTGGACAGTGGAGCTAAGGACTGGTTGTACTACCTGCCACCTTCCTCCATTGTAAGCTGGAATGACATGGCCAAATTGTTTCTGGAGAAATTCTTCCCTTCATCCAGGGCCACTTCAATCAGAAAGGAGATCAGTGGCATAAGGCAAGCTAATGGGGAGAACATGCATGAGTATTGGGAGCGATTTAAAAGGCTTTGTTCAAGCTGCCCACACCATCAAATTCCAGACAATCTCCTGCTTGTTTACTTCTATGAAGGGCTGCTGCCTATGGATAGGAACCTTCTGGATGCAGCTAGTGGAGGAGTCCTGAGCAATAAAACACCTAATGAGGCCAAGGAGCTGATTGCTGAGATAGTTGCTAATGCTCAACAATTTGGCACTAGAGCAAGCGGCAGTGCAGTGTTCCAAGTGCAAACTTCTCCAATGCAAAATCCAATAGTGGCAGCAGCAGGAGCATCAAGCACAGATAACCAGAGAATAGAGAACAGGCTTGATGAGTTGACATCAATGGTGAGGCAGTTGGCAGTGACACAGACAGTGCAACCTTCTGCTCAACAGACAAACAACCTGTGTGGCATCTGCTGTGATCCTTCTCATCCCACGGATGCTTGTCCTTCCTTACATGACAGCGGTTCCCAAGTTGACCAGTCTGTTGCTGCAGTTTTTCCTGAAAATCCACAGCACCAGCACCAGCAGCAAAATAATCCATTCTCCAACACTTACAATCCTGGCTGGAAGAATCATCCCAACCTCATATGGAACCAGAATCAGCAAAATGTTCCATATCAGAGTCAACAAAATTTACCATTCCAGCAGAGGCAGCAATTTGTGCCTCCACAACAGAGGCAAAATTTTCAACAATTTGCCCCTCAGCAGCCAATGCAGCAGCAGCCACCAGTGCAACAGCAAGCTAGTAGCAATGGCCCTTCTTTGGAGGATTTAATGAAACAGATGGCCACTAGCAATCTGCAGTTCCAGCAGAGGACTGAGTCTTCCATTCAGAATCTGCAAACACAGATTGGCCAACTTGCAACATCAATGAGTCAGAATCAACAAGCAAGTGGTAGCTCTCTTCCATCACAGACAGTTCCAAATCCAAAGGGAACCGACAATGTTAGTGCCATCTCTCTGCGGTCTGGCAAGCAACTGGAGGAACCAAACCAATCTGCTGTTAAGTCATCTCAAGGAGGTGACACTGGTTCAAGGAAGCAAAATACTGATACTTCTGATGTCCACATCCCGTTACCTTTTCCTCAAAGAGCCACTCAGTCTAAAAAGCAAGCAGCAAAAGCTCAAGATAAAGAGATTCTTGACACCTTCAGAAAAGTAGAGGTCAATATCCCACTCTTGGATGCGATTCAGCAAATTCCAAGATATGCTAAGTTTCTGAAGGAGCTATGCACCAACAAGAGGAGGCTGAAAGGAGATGAACGAGTCAGCGTCAGCCAGAATGTGTCAGCACTCATCCAGCCCATGCCCAAGAAGTGCCAAGATCCAGGGACATTTACTATCCCTTGCATTATTGGAAATTCTATTTTTCATGATTGTATGTTAGACTTAGGAGAATCCATTAATGTTATGCCTGAATCTGTGTATAAGTCTCTTGGTCTTGGTCCCTTGCGTGCTACTGGTATTGTTGTTCAGTTAGCCAACAGGAGTAGTGTTCATCCTTCTGGTGTAGTTGAAGATATATTAGTTAGGGTGAACAATATGATTTTTCCTGCTGATTTCTATGTCTTAGGGATGGAGGGTGAGATTCCTAGTAGTACAATTATACTTGGTAGACCTTTCATGAAAACTGCTAGGACTAAGATAGATGTGCATGCTGGTACTCTTTCCTTAGAATTTGGTGATAGCATGGTTAATTTTAATATTTTTGATGCCATGAAATTTCCTAGGGAAGAGCATTCTATTTTCTATATGGATGTAATTGATGAAATGATGGATGATATCTCTACTGACTTAACTGCTGAATATCCAGAATTATCATCATTACTTGATTCTGCTCTGTCATGTGATTGTACCGATAGTAGTAACTGTACTGCTTGTGCTGAGATAGCTTTGTGTTGTTCTGATTTTAATCATGTATTGAATGATGATTTGCACAGTGGTTCTGCATTGGTGTTGAATTCTGAGTTGCCTGTTGAAATTATTGAAGGTTCTATTTCTGAGAATTTGATTGCAGGCATAGATGTTAATGTGTTTTCTGCAGAACCTGCACCCACTAGACTTCTCCCATCCACTGAGCAACCACTTAAGTTGGAAGTGAAGGATCTACCTGACCATCTGAAGTATGCATATCTGGAGGAAAATGAGCAGTTACCTGTGATAGTGGCCAAGACCCTTCTACCTGAGTGGGAGGAAAAGCTTCTGACATTGCCGATACAGGCCGACATCATTTATCCCATTTCAGATAGCTGGTGGGTCAACCCGTTTCAAGTGGTTCCCAAGAAGTCTGGAGTGACTGTAATGGCAAATCCGAAAAATGAACTGGTTCCAGCAAGAGCTCAGAACAGTTTGAGAGTCTGCTTGATGCTGTTTATTCTCCTTAGGGAGTTCAGGGAGTTCTCTTCCCTCTTTTTCTTTTCTTTCTGTTATTTGCATTTTTATTTTTCTTTTCCTTTCTTTCTTTTAGTTTTTGACTTTTTCTTTTCTTTCTGTTATTTGCATTTTTATTTTTCTTTTCCTTTCTTTCTTTTAGTTTATGATTTTTTCATAGGTAGATTTTCCTTTTCTTTCTGGTAATTATTGAGTGGTACATAGAGTAGACATAGATCACAGTGTTTGATAGCATAAATCTGTTGGGCTTTGATCTCGATTCTTGGATTACAACTACCTGTTGATTGATTCTGTGCTGTTGATTGCATGACTTGGTTTACCCTTGTGAGGTTTTGAGCCCGCATACATGGCATATCTTCTGGCCATGCTTTCTTTCTTGTGTGATTCTGCTCTTGATTGTTGTCCTCTAGAACTTGCTCTTATTCTTTTTGAAACTGCATTTTTCACTTGCATGCATGAATATGATTGAGGCATTCATTTCTTTCTTTACCCACTTTAGCCAGATAGCCATCCCTTACATTATTATCCCTTGATGAGCCCCTTTGAGCCTTTATATCCTTTACTTCTTGAGCCACATTACAAGCCTAAGTGAAAAACCAATTAATTCCACACCCTGGAGATTTACTGAGCAATGGTTTTCACTGTGATGTTGTGTTTAAGTGTGGGGGTTTGCCCGAGGCGTGCAAAAGTTTAAGTGTGGGGGGTGACAATCTGATTCTTTTCTCTGCTATGTGGTTCTTCTGTGTTATATATAAAAAAAAAGAAACAAAACAAAAAGAAAAAGAAAAAAAAAGAAAAAAAATGTGTGTTTATTTTTATCTTTTCATTATCTTTGTGTTGTTCTTAACCATTGCTCTTGTGAATTTCTGGGGTGTTTAGCTTTCTCTTCCATATTCATCCATACCTTTACCTCAGCCCCATTACAACCTTGCATAAAGCCCTCTTGATTTGTGCATGCATGTGTTATGAGCAGTGGAGAAGTAGAACTTGAGCAAGCCTATGGTAGGATGATTTTCTTGAGTTGATTTGAGTGATATACTGAATTAACTGATACACTTGAGAGAAAAATTGAGAGCATCTTGTGAGGAACCATTTTTGTGCAGTTAGCAGTTGCAGTTGAAGTTAGCAGGTCTTGTGATTTGAGATTAAGGAATTTCTGTCCTGATTGATTTACCTGTGGAAGACTTGTGATCTTTGTATATTTTCTGTATGCTTCATAGTTGTTAGAAAGGATTGGTTGATCTTAGTCTTTGCTTTCAATTTTAGTTTGTTTTTGCCCAGGAGTGCAAAAAGATAAGTGTGGGGGAATTTGATAACTCATATTTTGTTACACTTATTTATTATTCTTGGTTGGTATTTTTATGATTTATTTGAATTAAATAAAGGTTTTTTGGGTCAATTCACTATTCTAGATTTTAGTTGGGTTTAATTGATTTTCGTCATAATTTTCCAGATTTACACTACTTTTGTATTTTGACCATATCTCACTCTACAAATGTCCGATTGACTCCTTTCTTGTTGCTATTTGCAGCTAACAGATAGGGCAACAATCGCTATTTCAGCTACTGAAGCCCAATTCGGACGGGAAGATGGTCGAAACTTGATCTCAAGATGACGTGTTTTGCTGGAATTTTATTTTGACGTTTGGACTTGTAATTCACATTAGGACCCAATGTGTTTAGGGCCCAAGGCCATGTTTTATTTTATTGTTTTATTTAGCTTTTATTTTATCTTTGGGCTGAAGTGATGAAACCCTAGCCGTCCTGCGTGACGGCTATTTAAAGGGGACTCTAGGAAACCCTTGGGAGTCAGTTTTACAACAGAAAAGTATTTTCTCTGAAGCGTTCTTCGCGTTCTTCATCTTTTTCTTCTTCTTCTTCTTCTTATTTCAATTATGCTTACCTTAGCCATGCGAGTCTAAGAACCTTTTAATCAACCTAAGGGTAATGGATTCCATGGATTAGTCTTGAGGGTCTGCGTTTATTTCAAATCAGTTTTCGTTTCCCTTCCAAACTCATATTGATATCGTGCGATCGTGGATATTCAATCTGAGGTTCGCGATTGCGATTATGGAAAGGGATTAATCATCAGATTTGATGATTAGGTTGATTGACCCTATGACCTTAAATCAAGCGGGCTGATACTCTGCGATTGTATGAGTAGAAGCATTGTCTTTGATCAAATGCTAAGCGATCGCTTAGAGAGGGTTGTCAATTGGAAATAAGGATTCTGATCCGATTGACAAATCAATCACGATTCTGATATTTTCTTATCCGAGGAAAGACGTCCATGGATCCCAAACCTTAGGTTGGTTATTTTTAATTACGAATTTTCATTCCAAATTTATATTCTGCCTCTTTAATTATTGAATCAAAATCTAAAACCCCCCTTTTAATTTTCTGTTCTCATAAGCAATTTTAACCAAAACAATTTCCTTGAGAGACGACTTAGGGTTTCCACTTTACTGCAAATTTTCTGAACCCTAAAGAATTAATTTTTAATTTGCGCGAGTTCGACAGCTCGTGTCAGTGTGATAGCTTGTTGAAAAGGGAATTAAGTAAGAAAAAGATGTAATCTGAGAAGAAGGTTGAGTTGTGAGCGGTGTGTTCGTAGAAAATTAATTAGTGAACCATGTTCAAGTAAGTAAAAACGTAAAAGTTAGTAATTGGCTAAGTAGGTTTATGGGAACCCCTTAGTAACTTATAATAAGTAAAGTGAGTTATAAAAATAGTTTAAATAAGTCTTCCGCAAGAGTTAACAGTTATGGTCACAGCTTTTAATTATTACGCGTTTTATTGTTTTAGATGCTCGCGTAATAATCGGAAAAAGTTTATTCGTATTTTTATAAATGAATTGTTGTGATTGTAACTGCGCTTAATATCATAATTAATGTTAACAATACCGGTACGTAACGGGCTGTTACATTTTATGGTATCAACCCATTCCTTTGTGTTATCAACCCATTTTATGGTATTTGTAACATCCCAAGAGCTGGCAAGGGCAGGGAGTGATCGTCGGTGCGAAAGGGCACGGACAATGAGCGGCTCATGCCAAATCTTGCAGCTTGGGGGTTCATGAATGAATCGAATCAACACCCGAAAGAGAGGGATTCCAGAGACTGTGCTGGTATGGGACGGTACAGTTAGGAATGACTTATAAGAATTAATTGGTACTACCTATACTAACAAGATGCATCTACTTTTCGGTAGCCCGGATCGGAAGAACTCCACAGTTAAGCGTGCTTGACTTGGAGCAATTCTGGGATGGGTGACCTCCTGGAAAGTTTTCTTGGGAAGTGTGCGAGTGAGGACAAAGCACACTGAAAAGTCTCGTGTTAGTGTGTGGGGACAGTCATTGATTCTTGCAAGTGGCCGGGCGTTACATCTAGTCTAGTGCTTTGACTTTTTAATTCACAATACTTTAAACTTTTCCTGGTTCACAGTTGCACTTTCGCTAATTTTTAGGTAATAATATAACCATGTTACAAATTTTTCTGTATCACTTCACCTCATTCTCATCTCTATCTATCTTTCTGACCCAATGTCGTTCTCAAAAGCCTCTAACCGTTTCCATAATAGGCTCTAATCGTTCTCATGCATACTTACTGTTTATTCCTGGAATCTTTCCAACTCACACTTTCTTTAATAGTTAACTCTTTTTGATGTCCTTACTGTTTCAACAATACCCCAACATCTCCATTATCCCAGTCTTTTCCATTGATGTTACCAATCTTACCATTTCGTTGCTTCCTTAGCTTTCACACAAGCGCATACCTCTTGGTTTCAGTTGCATGCTACAACACCCAAATAATCTCAACTCATATTACATTCCATTTTTACATATGTAAAGAACCAATTCAACCCAAAAGCTTAAGTTGTTGGGTGAGGTTACATTAATGGTTTTATATATTTCAACACGCCCCCTCACACGAGAGCCCACTAGGCTTGAAGGGTGGACAATACACAGGCCCACCTACCTGTGCGAACAAAGAAATTCCACTTGAAAGAAAGTGGGGGGCGGCGAGGATCGAACCTGGGACACGAGGCTCTGATACCATGTAAAGAACCAATTCAACCCAAAAGCTTAAGCTGTTGGGTGAGGTTACATTAATGGTTTTATATATTTCAACAACATACTTTACTTTACTTTGTCCCGTGTCTCCATATCTTATTAGATAATCACCACTATGTCTTTCTCTTTGGGACTCGAAGCTAACCCTCCTCACAACAGTTCATACTCCCTGTTAATCTATTTATCACTTAACCATTTTAACTCTATCAATTTAGCCCTCTCAGAGCCTAAACTCAGCATCCATCAATGCCTTTCGTATCAAAGGTCTTATGCCTAAGGTTTTCACCAAGTAACCATTTTTACTCATCATCCTGTAACAATATTATATATTCAACATAATTTTTCATTCATTTATACCGCCATTTCCTCATTATCGACATTCCGATCATGGATGTCCAACTTTAAAATGCTATACCCTCACAGCTTCACCAACTTCTACCACATGGAACTACTTTCATTCTTAACAATTTTCAAAATTTTATCAATAATTTGTATCTCAAGGGACCTATCTCTCACACTTAGCATATATCACTACCGTACTCCAAAGCACTTCATCGAGTTATCAACCTTTCTTTAATCACCACAATTTAAGTTACTGATCCTTATTAGACATCTCCACTTAATTCTTCACAACTAACCTCTTACGAAAGGCCATCAGGCCACCATCTTAACTGCACGTTTTCTCATCATTAGTCCTCCTAGCAAAATATTTACTCAATTATCCGTATTAACAATGTGTCATCCTTTCTCATAGGGTACGGACCCCTCAATCACTTCACAATTTCCGTGAAATCCAATATCCATATCATCACACTTGGTACACACATATACAGACCCCCTAATGCTCAGAACCATACCTCAAATACCTTCTCGTGACGCCTCACATATTATATCTCATCTGGTATATTACTGTCCACTAAGACTTATCTGATATCATATCTTGCGTTCTTCACATGACACAATCCTCCTAATACAGTGGGTAAGATATCCCCAGGTCAAACCCCTCGAGCTCTTGCTGTCCTAAGGGCCCCAGATGTAAATGACCCACCGACCAGAGAATCTGCCCTTATGATTCACGCAGTAATAGGTAATCTATCACCAGCTGCCCCCGTACTAGGAGCATCCCCAAATGTTTCTTATTTGTACACTTACATCAAACACCTCAACTATACTAGCAGTCCCATCAATGCGGGATACTTCCTCGTCTCATATTACTCATATAAAATAATAGTAGTCTCCAGGAACATAATCCGCACGGAGATAGCTACACACTCCTGGCACATAGGCCACACAGAGATATCCACACTATTAAGTCGTATAACATGCACCCAGTGCACAGAGAATTTATATTTCTATAACTTATATGTATATGACAGCAAACGTGTACCCAATACACTCCAGATCACACATGGACGCATTCTATTTGGTGTCCGTATCACGTTCGTATATAACGGCAAAATATCTTTGGTATATTCACATGGGGCTACCCACAATAATAATAGTAGTAGGGGTGTAATATACACTTATTACATATAAGTTGATTCATTATACTCTCTCGTTTAATTCTTCCCACTGATAGTTTACTTTCATTTTGGTTAAACGTCAGACCTGGTTTATAACATAGTCACTATTATAATAATTCATATCATCTTCGTAATTTTGTACACATCTCACACCTCTTAATATAATGTATCATATTTCCCACATATACCTCCCGTCACACAGGGATTTTCTAAACATATTTGTCCTATCACAGAGAACTAATTTCACCTCAGTCCTCGCACTGGAAATTTCACATCAATCCTTGCACTGAAACTACACGTCAGTCCTTGCACTGACACTTACACGTCAGTCCTTGCACTGACCATTATACCTCAGCTCATCAGCTAATCTTATCATTTTCATTTTGACATTACACCTTAGCTCTTTTGCTAACCACATAATTTCACACTCTATGCACATTTTACACCTCAGTTCTTTCGCTAACCACTTAATTTCGCACTTTATTGCAACTTAGTTTATACAATAATCACATGATTCTACATTAGGTTGTACATTAACTCATTCTCTAATCATACCATCTCACCTTATTGTTGTACAACAATAACCCACAAAATCCTGTCACCGTTCTAATCTATTGTCCGCTACGGATCACATAAACCTATACTCAATATTGTAGAGCAACCCATCAATTTTCCTGATCACTTCCACCTTGGTGGTTGTAGAATATTCATTACATTGAAAATACCTACACTCCGTCTATCAATCCATATCAAATACCAATGATTTCACAAGTACACTACTATTAGTAGCACATATATATAGACCACAAGATCATAATTTCTTTACAATTCTCATTATTGTCTTACACATGACTATACATTTCAACCATCCTATTCATTTATCACTGACACATCTGCCAATTTTAATCGACATCCATTAATTACAATAGTGCCTTCATCGTACATTTA